TTACTGTTGTAGGGAACAAACCGGCTTCTAACTGTAGAGGGATTAGGAAAAGACGTTGGAAGTGGATAGAACATACATTATGGAAATCATCAAACTGCATCACAAGGCAAGTGTTACGTCCAGGTTTTTGCTCGTTCCCTTTATTGAAGTACGGTATATCGATCTATTTGCGATTTACGAATTCAGATTAACAAAAGAACCAAATTCCAATTTAGATACGAAAGTTTATTCACACCCTATAAATAGTCGACCCCAATGTCGTTCTAACAACAATAATTATAACAATTACAAAACAAACACTCAATTTTGTAGGTTCCTGGAGCAAAAACTCACAAATGCAAAACCAAAATGTCCGAAAATAATTATATAAACAAAGAAGTCCCAAAGTTTGGTAAAACAGATACATCCAAAATTACAGTAAAACTAATAATCTTAAATATAAAGGTTTCAATCAGACAAGTGTCTTCCGTTCTCCCGTAACAGCAAGCGTTTACTTAGAATCCTGAATGGATACGGAAACGAGGAAGGTCAAAGAACACAATGAGTGGAAAATTAAAAGCAGACATGAAAATGAGGATTAGCAATTGAAGAGAACAGGAAAAGATTGTTCAGGACAGTGTCGGATGAAGGATTCTGGTGGGCGGTCTATGCTGTAACAAGCGTAAGTAGATAAGTAAGTAATGTCTTATCGTACTTGAGCTTGGCATAACTAAGTTGATCAGAACCCATACTATTAACACTAATATCATCACGTTTACCTTCATTAACATCGAACAGGTCACAAACAGCTTTGAGAATCTCACCTTCCATTTCTGTATTATTCTTTTACCTTTTTCTCCTCATTTTCACAGCATATCACTGTCCCATAAACCAGTTGTATCAAGTTAAACTCAAATTAATCCAATGAAATTGGCGAACAGAATAAAACTTCGATACAAAGCTGAACGCTCAAAACATTCAAAGTGTGATGAATGTAAAACTCTGGTCCGTTATTAAAGTACAGTCGATTGATATACTCACAAATTACCATCCAAATAATAAGAAAACGAAACTCCAATTCACACACAAATGTTTATTCGTCAATTACAAGTAGCCAATCTAAATAGATTGTTCTCATAATAATTATAACGATCACATAACAAATCTCCTTTTTTTAATTTTCAGAGTAAAACGGTTAAAATACCAAACCAAAACTGTTCGACGTCAGATTTATAAACAAACAAGTTTGAAATTTGAGTAAAATACTTGTATTTCAAACATAGTGAGATTAATTATACTCAATAGAATAGTTATTATTCAGTCAAATACTTTCAGTTCCCCCTCCCAATGCCCCAAAATTTCCCTAAAATGGGTCAAATTTTCCCCGAAATTGGGAGATCGGGCTGCAACACTTTATACAACCTTAGGATTGGGGTTCAAGCTAGCGATGTAACACAGAAAAAAAAACTATAAATCAGAAAATATCGACTCATCTTCATCGATCATTATTGATTCCGATTCAGCCATAAACTTATGGCAGTATGGTTGTCATTTTAAAATTTATTTTATCTCTCGAGTAACATCATGTTAATACAATAAGTTTGTAGTAGGCGTCGAGTCGTGGTTGAGTGTGATCACCATTACAGGAAAACTACGTGACAGTTACTAGGTTAAATCCCTCTGTAAACCAAATATCAGAAGGCAATTGAAGATTATAGTAAGACGTATTTGTTTGCGATCTTGTGGTATCGAAATAATACTGCTATCGTGCCAAAGTTTACAGGTGAGACTACTGAACATACGCGAGTTTGTGCAAGGTCACAGACAATGGAAGAATATGTTTTTTGGCACACTTAAACAAACAGTTACAGTGAAACAATCACTAGTACAATTGGTTACACTAATAATTGTTTCCATTATACCAATCGCGTTCTCTTCATAGAAAAGTAGGTCATTACAAGTTAATGTTTCTTTACATAAAAGTTTACTACATTTTTGTCTGATGTATATTTAAAAAGTCTTTTTTCAACTCACATAGATTGACGACATATGTATATGATTGTTATTGACCAATTTACTTACACTATTATGGTTTTCGGTATCTTTAAACACTTGAGCAGTTACAAAATACATAGATACATGTATTATCGAATCGTTATTATACATTGATTTTCTAACACTTTCTGTCATCTTGATCACCATACTCTTTTAAATTCTCAATAACCAGAGGATGCAACTCGTGTCAATATCCTCTTAACCTTGAACTTCTACTGAATCCAGCTACATTTCTTTTTACCAACTATTAGAAATTTATTGAAGTAATCCTAAACCTTATTAAAATAATTCATTTGTACTGATGATTGATTATAAAACTTCATGGAAGATCAACATTCAGTGATGTGAATTATCAATCCATCTCATATGGAGACTGATACGTGTGCCGATACGTCATTCGCTGTCTGTCTTTAGCTTCTTTCTGTTATTATCTTGTAGTGACTTACTTTTATCACGAGAACGCGATGGGTTTAATAGAAACAATTATTAGTATAACCAATTGTACCAGTGATTGTTTTACTGTGCTCGTTTGTTTAACTGGGCTAAAGACAGCCATATAACTGCCCAATTATCCTTCGATTGATTGTGACCTTGCACGGGTTCGGTTACGCTCGGTACCCACGCTTGTACTCCTTTGGAATGATATCGGTATCCTTTCGATACCACGAGATCGCCAACAAATACATCTCGACTACAGCCATAAACTGCCTTCTGATATCTGGCTTACGGGGTATTTTATCGGTTAACTGGCACGTAGTATTCTTCTAGTGGTGTTCATAGTCAATCGCGACTCGACTCCACGCTACAATCTAAAAGTATCTCTGCTTAGCAAGTGTTTAATTGTTCTTTCAAATGTATGAAAGTAGCAGAAGAAATTTATAACTGTGTTAAGGTAGTTCAAGTTACAGATTCATCTGGTTATGTGGCTTTCACGTAAAGCTATGAGTTAAATTACCACATAACTGCATTTGACATTTATAGACTGATAGTGGTTACTGAATAACATAAGTAAGCTCATCATATTGATCATAGTTAACTATTCAGAATATAAAGATGGACAGAAGTGTATTGGTGGTGAACACACTAATTGTCATAAGGCAAAAATGAAAAACTGAAATTGAGTCATTCCATATGTTTATTTCGTTAAAGGAAAATGGATTCTCCTACGAAGTAAGAAGATAGTTTGGTACTGGTTTTTAAGATAATCATTGATCCTTCGTTAGGTTTACGACCTATTATTATAAACAGATTGCTATTTTCAACCTCCTATCAACTTCCGAACCCAAAAACATTTACGTCAGATACAAATTCTGATTTTTACCCACTTCTCAGTATTCGACTGTGTAATAATCCAACAGTATTGTTAAATTATTTTGGACATTTTGTTATGCTTTATTATTACTCAATAGTATCATAAATATTCATGCATCAATTTATGCTTTAACTCCACCTGTAGTTCTCTTGGAGTTTTTGACGGTCCTAAGCATGGATAGAAGAGAAAAGTTGGACATGGGGTCAACAATCCCATTATGTAGAAAAAGTTTTGCTAAAAACACATCAACCAAACCAAACAAATTAAACCTGGGAGTTGAAGGAAGAATTATGATGCCTTAAGATGAAAGCCGAAATTCTTCGGAAGTAACGGGGATTTAATATCATTAAGAAATATTCGTCAATTATGGATGACCCAACGAATCTTCGTACTTTATACAAGAGAATCCAGTGATTTAGCACAATAAAATGTATCCCTATTTTTTTTGGGATCGTTTTCTGTTTTCAGATCGAAATAATTGGATCTTAGGCGTTACAATTTTTGATTTTTCATTGTTGGAAAAGTGGTTGATATCTAACTTATATAGCATCGTGAAAAAATCACAAATTTCATATACATAGTTCCTTTAAAGAGAGCAACAATGAAGATTGGTGCAGAAGCTTTATTGCTTGGATTTAAATTCCATATCCCTAAAATACACACCGACAGAATCGACACAGAAACTCAAATTGAGAATTTACTCGATCAAATTGGAGAGTTGGACCCAGTTAGTGAAGAGAAGAGAAGCTGATTTAAATCTAAATTAGTTGATATCGCAAACCAATATCTCGTTTCACCCACATCACAGTCTAAACTTTTATCCTATTGGGGTGATCCAGAAAATTGCTTGCAAAAGGCAAGTAAGCATCAGGAAACACTAAGAAGCGATTCGTCCAATCAGCGTTCACTTAGAGTCTTGGCCAGAAATATCAAGGAAGTGAAACGTCACATGCAGAAGCTCTGGTTGGTTGGCTGCTACACTGCTACTATGTTTAGTAACATTCCAGAATATTCCAGCGACCCAAGGACATTTAAAATATTATAAAAACCCTGTATTTTCTATACTAAAATGAATCTTGGAGTAAACTACTTCTCGCATACTTTGAGTTTCCTCTCTCGTGTTCAGGTCGCTGTATAGCTCTAGCTTAGGGGTTACAGAATAGCTTAGGAGACGAATTTAACGTTCAAATCCACAAGACTTATCAGTCCAAAGACCACTTAACATCATTACGAAATATTAAGCGAAATGATGATCTAATGATATTATGGTCAGATAAAGGTTCAACTGTTGTTCTAATGAACAAAACAGATTATGTCTCTAAGATGAAGTCCATTTTATGTGACCACATGAGATTCAAGTTAAATAAAAGTAACAATCACTTAACTGATTCATCTGAAAAAAGAAATCACAAAAGTATTCAGGGATCTCCTGAAGAAGAAGATGATCGATAATTCCACCTACAATAATCTACAACTTCGTGGATCTCGTTTACCAAAAATACATAAACAAACTGTAGCAATCTTTGTTCTTGCTCTCTTTGAAATCTCAAATTGTTGATTCTTTGGAGTCAGATCAATGGCATCTACACTGAAGCCTAGTAAGTAAATTATTCACCTTTAGAAACACAATGCTAACGAAAATATACATAGTTAAGCTACAAATTTTCTCTATTATTTACCATCTTATTATTTAAACTTTCCAAAAATTCTTAATTATTTTTTAAACATCATTAAAAATGATCACAGTCATTTCTCAACCAAGTAATTAAATCAAAAATGAGTTTTTGTGGATATTATATTAAGATAATAGTTGATTTCATGAATCTGTTGAAGCTAGACAATCATGGAAAACCTCAAAGTACTGGACAGCCGTTTCGTCCTACTATGGGACTCTTCATCAGTGCTCATTCACGATACCGCCTTGCGAGATTCGAAACAAGGACCTGTTAGTCTCAAATCTCGCGTGACGGGATTGTGAATATGCATTCCTGAAGAGCCCTACACTAGAACGAAACGGCCGTCTAATGCTTCATGGTTTTCCATGGTGGTCCAGCTTCAGTTGACTCATGAATTCAACTATTAAATCAATCAAATAACAATGAATTATTCAATTGATTAACCTCAATGACAATAATATCGACAATAATAATAATAATAATAATAATAATAACAATAATAATAACAGGAGACGTTAATTATGTATATGCATTACATGTTCAAACGAAGAAAAGAAATCCCAATTCCAGTAATTCAACAATCAATATATAGATTTTATATGTGCATTTGAATTATTTTTTCTAGTTGGCGCTTTTTTTTAGAGAGTTGGAAAATGTTGGCCGGTTGCCTATGCTCCATCAGGAGTAACAGGCATAAGTAAGTAAGTAAGCAAGTAGGTAGGTAGGTAGGTAAGTAAGTAAGTAAGCAAGTAAGTAGTATGTGCATTTGTTATAATAAATGCTTTCTTCCAAATAAATATCGGACAATATTATCTTGTTGTGAAACAGCCACATAATTTACTAGAAGTTTTGTGTGAAGATGATTGATTTTTAATAAAATTCTTTTGATTATCCATACAATCGATACTAAATTCATCAAATGATGCGTATATATTTGGATCTATTGATGAATAGAAAACAAAAACAAAAATAAATAATTAATTAACTTATTAAATCTATAAATTACATAATCATGTAGTGACTGTGCTTCGTAGACCACTCACCCTCGTAACCGTTATCATATAATTCTCAACGGTCTTTGAAATCAGAAGGCAAAGATAAGCAGCGACTACAGTTTTATTAGCAGATAACTCAGAACACAAAACAGAGAGGCAAATGAATGGGTCAGTGAACCGAGAGTGTAGAGTGTAAATATATATATATATATATATATATATATATATATATATATATATATATGTATATATATATATATATAGGGAAATGAATGGATCATCGAACCAATTAAGCAGTTAATAGTCAAGTTAGCAGAATGAATATATGCGTAGATGGTAAGCAATGTTTAAGCATACATATTTCATACAACTTACTTACTTACTTACGCCTGTTACTCCTCGTGAAGGAGCATAGGCCGCTGACCAGCATTCTCCATACAAGCCTAACAATAATAAAGGTACAATAAGTTGTTATAGTACGGATAACTTTGCCCGCTAAATAAGTTAACAAAAGGGCTTAACTGAGTTAAATGAGAACAAACTCAATTACATATGAGTTGTTATAATCTAAACAAATCATAATTGAGATCATGAGTTAACTGAAGTTAGATCATGATGAAATACCTTGAAGTATTGGATAAATATTTTGTTCTATTTTAGGACTCTTCAATTGATTTTGATAAAATTTTGTTGTTTGAACTGAATAGTTTGGTTGTGAAGTTTTCATCATTCTTCCAAACGATATCATCAACAATACAAATTCTATCAAAATTATCCACCTGAACTACTAAATCTTCTCCATTCCTTAATTGACTCATGATTTCAACTATTAAAATTACTATCATATCCACATTTAAAAAAATCCCTTCTGAAATGATAATTGATTTAGAGTAATGAAATTAATGAATGATTTATTGATGAAATAATGATAACTCTTGTTTAATTACAAAAAAAGGTTGATATTGCTGATGATAGCAACATATTTTAAGGTGATTAAGGTACCAGATATTTCCTAGGTTAAATTTATCAATGATATATATATATATATATATATATATATATATATATATATATATATATATATAATAAAATAGTACTCATCGAGTGAATAGGTTATGCGTTTTTTTAGCGAGTTAGTTTTCTACGGGATGGGGTCGCTAATTCCATGCCCCACCCTCCTCCTTTATCCGGGCTTGAGACCGGCAGTAGCCCCCGGAAGGACTCCAGGCGGACTTCACAGATGATCTGGTCCTCTTATCCCATACGCAACAACAAATGCAGGAGAAAACGACCAGTGTAGCAGCAGCCTCAGCAGCAGTAGATCTCAATATACACAAAGGGAAGAGCAAGGTTATCCGATACAACACAGCATGCACCGATCCAATCACAATTGACGGAGAAGATTTGGAAGATGTAAAAACATTTACATATATAGGCAGAATCATTGACGAACGGGGTGGACCTGATGCAGATGTGAAAGCGCGGATCGGTAAAGTAAGAGCAGTGTATTTACAACTGAAGAACATCTGGAAATCAAAATAGCTGACTGTCAACCAACAACAAGGTCAAGATTTTCAATACGAATGTCAAGACGGTTCTACTGTATGGGGTGGAAACTTGGAGAACTACGAAAGTCATCGTCCAGAAGTTACAAGTGTTTATTAACAGTCGTTCACGTAAAATACTTCGGATTCGTTGACCAGACACTGTCAACAACAACCTACTATAGGAAAGTACAAACCAGATTTCAGAGTAGGAAGAAATCAGGCAGAAGCGCTGGAAGTGGATAGGACACATATTGAAGAAAGCACCCAGCTGCGTCACAAGACAAGCCTTCACATGGAATTCTCAAGGCCAAAGGAAAAGAGGAAGACCAAAGAGCACAATACGCCGAGAAATGGAGATAGACATGAGACAAATGAACAAGAATTGGATAGGACTAGAAATGAAGGCCGAGGACAGAGTGTGTTGTAGAATGCTGGTCAGCGGCCTATGCTCCATTAGGAGTAACAGGCGTACGTAAGTAACTAAGTAAGGATGCATTAAGCAATAATTACATAATGACATATCGGTGATAAATTACTATTGAGTAAGTGGAAGAAAGAGGATTAATAATAATCAAAGTAATTATTCAAAAATCAAGCAGTTACTATGTTTCATAACATATGAAAAAGAGAAGGAACTGAGTATTTTAATGAATTGTCAGTAGAATAGTAGTTATGTAAGAATCAACAGATGAATGTTGAGAAAAAAATACAAAATTCAAAAAACAAAAAAAATGGAAGAAGTACAAAAATAGTTCTGCTACAAACGCCCTTATACCGATGTCCAGGTTAGTGAAATTGGTTGTACAAATTTCTTATGGATGAAAAAGTTAGGTTTATGAACTTGGATTGCGATGGCTTCGGCAATATGCAAAAGACTCACCCATAAGTAAGTAAGTAAGTAAGTAAGTAGGTAAGTAAGTAAGAAAGTACGTAAATAAGTAAGTAAGTAAGTAAGTAAGTAAGTAAGTAAGTAAGTAAGTAAGTTCGTTAACAGGTCAAGTGTTGATTTCTAACATACTTGAATCTTATTGAAACATAAGATACTATGTTGAGAAGCTGATCAATTTTTTTAGCTCATTATTACTACATAGTGAATTCTCTTAATTCCATAGTATAAATTCACTTAATCATATCAGATCACGAAATGAATGAAACGTATATTCTGTATACCATAATATTCATTCATGTTTATCTTAAACGAAATTACATTCTACATGACATTGTTACAATCTAAAAATTAATCTTTAAACTTAATCATTTTTTTTTCAAAAAAAGACATTTAATTTCTCATTAAATTCATAATTATCAGAAGGGGTTTGTGGAGATTTTAGAAATTTTCACAGATTAAAATCATGAGTCAGTTGAAGCTAGACCAACATGAAAAACCTGGATTCACTCAACGTCCGTTTCGTCTCAGCATGGGACTCCTCAGCAGTGCGCACACACGATCCCGCACACCGCCAGATTCAAACACAGGACCTACTGGTTTCGCGCGCGAGCACTTAACTATTAGACCACTGAGTCGGCATTCAATGGTATTAGTGTCCATTTTTAAACAATCCACGAAGTTGCGCCACTACATACCATTGTTTTCAGTGAGCTGATATCTCACAACAGACCTGGTTGAACTCCGTTGGTAACGGCTTCTCATTAGAACTCCAGGAGTATCTCTTGAAGTCAGTCACTAGTGAGCAGATGATTAATTATCTGAAGGGATTTATGGATGAAGTCGTGGATGCGCACTGCTGAGGAGTCCCATACTAGGATGAAACGGCCATCCAATACTTCCAGGTTTTCCATGGTGGTCTAGCTTTAATTGACTCATGATTTCAATCTGTGAAATTATTATTATTATTATCTATTCAACAAAGATAAAAATGAATCAATTGTAATATCATAAACGGAGAGTATTTTGAGCAAGATAAGATTAAAGTACAGCTTTTATGACTTCGATTCAAGTAATTATTAGGTATAACAAGAATGACTAGTTTCTCATTATCAAAAGGGGTTTTGTGGGGATTTTTTAGAAATTTTCACAGATTGAAATCATGAGTCAATTGTAGCTAGACCACCATTGAAAACCTGGAAGCACTGGACAGCCGTTTCGTCCTCGTATGAGACTCATCATAATTAACATGTTTATATTCATGATTAGTTTTTATATTTCCCTTTGGTGCAAAAAAGTTCTTAGAATTGTCATGGTAACGATAATCTTAACTTTAATTTCATTGGTTAATTAAATTGCTTTTTTCTGATTGGTCGAATTTCAATCCACCAATAACTTTATTCTTTTTATAGTAGTATATTTGAATAACAGTAGTAATCTATTAATTAAATTAAATGAATGTGATATAAAATTTGATTTTATTATTATAATCATCAAATGAAATCATCATATGAATAAACATTTGAGTGAATGTATAATCATTTAACTTTAATAAGAAGTAAAGCAATTGATGGTAATTATGCAATAGAGAGTTATGATTTTAACCGATTAAACAAAAGAACTTATTATTGAATCAATTTCAAGATTATGATAAATATAAGAAATATAAGAAGATCAATCAGTCAATCAGTCAGTTACAATTTAGGATCAGGTATATAGATGCATCGGTTCAAGTTGTCATTCCTCATTTGTACAACAAGATGAACACTGGATATAGTACAAGAAGAAATAATTAGTTGGTAGAAAGAAAGATATAAAGCAATTTCAATCTCACAGTTTAGGGGCAGACAGATAGTGTATACACTTACGTTATTGTGATCGATTCTGAGCCATGTCAGTAAGAGTCTCTAACCATTGGTTACAATAGTCACGAGGACCCCAACCAAGTAGTCTGCATCTACCAACATGGCTCAGACTAGAAGATAGTGACTTTGTGGACTGATGCCACATAAGTTCCTTCCAACCATCTCCAACACTAGTCAGCATTGCACGTCGTAGTTACTAGTGCTCAATAATACGTCACACGTGGCCCAAACATTTCAGTCGATGAAAATTTACAACCTCATCAACCGATTTACCATCATTCCCTAATATCCTGTGTTTAACCGCACTATTACTTGCCCTATGATCACAGCGGTTGCTGACAATATTTCTTAGACATCTGTGATTAAATATTAGTAATTTTCGAGTATCTTCTAGTCTTAATAGCCACGTTTCGCAGCCGTAAAGTAGAACAGAACGAACTGCTGCGCAATATACTCGTCCCTTAATTGACAGACGAATATCTGATCTTTGCCATAAGTGTCGTCAGTTGACAAAAGCTAAACGAGCTTTTCGAATTCGTGCAGAGATTTCGTCAGATGCCAACCCATTAGGACTGATCAGACTTCCAAGATAAGTGAGGTTTTCGATGCGTTCGATTACTTCATTCATTGAATAGAGTCAATTCATT